TTCTGTCTTTTTGTTTCCTTCTTAGCTTTTTTATTGTCTCTTTTGAATGGTGTGTAAATATGGTTTATTTCTGTGTGTGTCTATTGATGGATGGTTTGTCCAAATGCCAAGCTTGTTCAAGATGTTGTGCAGTTTTCTTCAAAAGTCGTCCCTGATTCTTTCATTATAACCATTCACTGGAGCATAACATGCAACAGTCACCAACCTATTAATACTTATTTTCTGATAACAGGTAAGTAGTACAGATGATACCAATTTTTAGCTTTTTAACACGCATTTTAGGCATTTTATTCATAATTAATCTGTTGCTTTTACTTCTCTGCGTGTATTAATCAACTCCATAGATCAATCTACATTCATTCTGATTTATTACAGCCTTCCCTTTTGTCTTAGTTTCATAGATGCAGTATATCTTTTTATTTATTTATATTTATTAATTCATGCACTTTACCTTTTACTCTTCTTACATTCTTAGTCACAAACTTCCATATTCCAAAATGGGTGATAAATATTGATGTTTGATATTTGCTTCTTAACATGGGTAGTCAATTGAGAAAAGCACAAGTTGTACAAAAAATATTTGTACATATTCCCATGTAGCATTCTGTATTAAGGATATAATACTGGTCAGTTTTATCAGGTTTTTGCCAGTTTGCTCATGCTATATACCATGTAAGCTAGAATCTAGATAATCTAAAAACTATCTTCAAACCACCACACTGTTATTTGTATGCCACAGGAGAGTTTACTTTGAAATAGCATGTTTATATTGTTAATGCAATCCTTGTGATGACATAATTCTCTTCTCAGTTCTCTAATACATATTAATTACTCCATTCTGGAGCTCTTTTCTATTTAACAAATAACATTTGAATAGAAAACTCAGGTCTCCCTGTATTTCAAATATTTGAACTACTGCTGCTTGTTTATACATATGTTTCATTTATTAGCTTTGATCTGAATTAATAAACTTGGTGCTAAATTCTGTCTAGCAAATAAACTGCCATTGGTTAGCAGATGTAGTCCTTGCAGTCTTTCTTACTCTCTATATGCTTTTTCTGTCCAATCTATATTTTTCAATCCAACTTCTATGAACTTTGTGGTTTGAAGGCAAAACTTGCAGTCAGCCAATTGAGAGCTCTGCTCAAGCTAATGTTTTCCAGTTTTTGTTAAAAGTAAAAAAATATTTTATACAATAGGATGTTTTTAAAGTTTATTAAGATTAGAAGACATATCTTACTTCCATTTTTTTATTTTATTGAAATGTTAATAAACATAGTAAAAACTAATACAAACTAAACTAGAAGAAAAGAGAGAAGTTCAGAAGGTGCAGAAAAAAAAAAGAAAAAAGGAAAAGAAAGAAGTAGAGAAAAAGAAAAAGGCAACAAAGATAATAATAAAGAAGTGGCTTCTGACCTTCATCACACTGAGCATAAGTTAATATAAACTTTTCACCCTCTTTTAAAGTTACAGGTAAAAAACTCTTCTCCCCATAGCCTAACTTTTATCTATACACAATCCAGAAATCGTCATCTTTTCAATCCTGGTTCAGCAAAAAGTCCATTAGGAGTTACTAGAAATATCACACAAACAGTTTATCTCTGATCAACTATTTGTGTGATATTTCTAGTATTTATTCCTTTTTATATTCCTTCTTTTTGCTCTTCACAAACTTAACCTTTAAATCATTCCAATGGCACTGCAGGAATTGATCTCTCGTCAGTCTTTGGAATTCAAGAGCCGTCTTCAAAGCTTTCACCAGCCTACTTTATAAATCCCACAAAGAGGCATCGTTCAGGATTTCTTGTTATCTTAGTTTCATCAACCTGACTTTTCCCCACCTTTTGCCAACCGGTCAACATATTCATGTCATTGCATTGAAGAAAAAACAGCTCACATTGTATATATTAATGACATAGTAAAATCACTGAAACAGGCATGGGAATCAAAATTCCAGTATTCCATCACATGCTGTAGCCAAAGAACTACAAATGTGTTGCAACACTGTAAGACTTCTGCCAGCTACACACCCATAAGGAGTACAGTCAGGAGGCCTAAACAGCTCCAGCTTCTAACTACCAAAGCTGAAACTGAAGTGCAATATATGTTTTCTTACTGTCTCTAGATTTTATATGTGGTAATTTATCTTTTTAAATGCAGAAAATGCATGTTGCAGAAATTTACATACATAAAAATTAGAAATTGAAGGTGAGAAACTCCAAGGTCGACAACTACCTTATTATTTCTTGCTGGGCTCATATTTTGAAGTGGAAACAGGAAGGAACCCTATTTACCTTGTTTATTTTTTTCCTCATTGGACTCGTTATATTTCTGTGCTACTGAAGCAACAAAAGATAAATTAATTACACTGCATGGCTATGTTGTATTCCCTTTTTGAGACAAGTTCAGAGAATTGGGATAACTTTGGATCATGTGGATTTTACCTTTCTTCACCTTTCCATTCTCAGAATTACTTTTTGCCCTTTCTGAAACTGGGACAAAATCACTGGACAAGCAAGAATTAGGAGGACCTCTTCACTGAATATCTGGCAGGTTTAGAGGGCAGACATCTGCTCTAACCATTGAGAGAGATAGCCCACTCCTGACAACTCTTATCAGGATTATAGCCTTAGGTGTGACTGTGGACTAGCCTTAAGGCTTTTAGTGCTTTTCCAGTTATTTTGTCACAAACACCCTAGTTGAAAGTACAGTGGGGCAAAAAAGTATTTAGTCAGCCACCAATTGTGCAAGTTCTCCCACTTAAAAAGATGAGAGAGGCCTGTAATTTTCACCTTGTTATCAGTATAAAAGACCCCTGCCCACAACCTCAAATAGTCACACTCCAAACTCCACTATGGACCTTGTTATCAGTATAAAAGACCCCTGCCCACAACCTCAAATAGTCACACTCCAAACTCCACTATGGACCTTGTTATCAGTATAAAAGACCCCTGCCCACAACCTCAAATAGTCACACTCCAAACTCCACTATGGACCTTGTTATCAGTATAAAAGACCCCTGCCCACAACCTCAAATAGTCACACTCCAAACTCCACTATGGACCTTGTTATCAGTATAAAAGACCCCTGCCCACAACCTCAAATAGTCACACTCCAAACTCCACTATGGACCTTGTTATCAGTATAAAAGACCCCTGCCCACAACCTCAAATAGTCACACTCCAAACTCCACTATGGACCTTGTTATCAGTATAAAAGACCCCTGCCCACAACCTCAAATAGTCACACTCCAAACTCCACTATGGACCTTGTTATCAGTATAAAAGACCCCTGCCCACAACCTCAAATAGTCACACTCCAAACTCCACTATGGACCTTGTTATCAGTATAAAAGACCCCTGCCCACAACCTCAAATAGTCACACTCCAAACTCCACTATGGACCTTGTTATCAGTATAAAAGACCCCTGCCCACAACCTCAAATAGTCACACTCCAAACTCCACTATGGACCTTGTTATCAGTATAAAAGACCCCTGCCCACAACCTCAAATAGTCACACTCCAAACTCCACTATGGAGGAGATCTGCATGGAGGAATGGGCCAAAATACCAGCAACAGTGTGTGAAAACCTTGTGAAGACTTACAGAAAATGTTTGACCTCTGTCATTGCCAACAAAGGATATATTGAAAATTACAGGCCTCTCTCATCTTTTTAAGTGGGAGACCTTGCACAATTGGTGGCTGACTAAATACTTTTTTGCCCCACTGTACTAAGACCATGTAGTGGATTTAAACCTTCATAACAGTACAGTTTAATGGGTACATAACAGATTCCAGATTATTAGGAAACAATTCCTTACATTGGAATTGGACGGTGGAACCAATTACCAGGAGAAGTGGACTTGTGGCATGAAGACTTGAGTGGCTGCCTTCCCTCTTCCTATGCTTAATTTGTTGAATTGGACTGAGTAATGGGAGAGTTATCTTTTTGCTTTTTCATAACCTTGTTACATGCATTTTGATTCTGACATTGTTTAAAGAAGAAAGTCTGGATTTAATTATGCCTCAAACAGAAGATAAAAGAAGTCTCATCTCTGGTGAATGAGGTCATTCTAAATCCCTCCTCCATAGAAGAATTAACAATGGCGATGTCTCAAGATGAAACTGTCTCTGCAGCTGAGATTCTTGATATTCAGCTGGAAAAATCTGCTATGACTTCTGATAAACTACGAAGTATACACTGAGGCTGGGACTTCTTTTAGGGAGCAGCCTGTTTTTCTGCTTATGACTAAGTTGCAATCCATGTGTAATCTTATGTAGTCTAATCATGGCAAATTATAGTCTGAGATGGAATCAAATCATTACAAAATATTGTACAGAGATTGGTTCTAATTGTGGGGGAGATGGCAATTATCCATAAAGATATCTGTACATTGGATAAGAATATACTGTAACTACTTGGATAGTAACATGAAATCTCTGTGTGATGAAATGAAAACTATGCAATTTGCTAAGATTCATCAAGGGCTGGATAATCTAAAAACAATAATTTTGTGTTCACATGAACTAAGATTGAGGGCAGCTGGATCTACAATTCAAACATATGTAAAGGACATAGATCTGCATAATAAAGCTTTGATTAAAATACATGGTAACCTGACTTCTAGGCATTTGAAAGTACTTGGTTTACCCCTTGATAGTCTGCCTAATTT